GTCCATAAGCATTCACCGACACAACGCGCATCAGATATCGAGTACCATATTCCAAATTCTTTACTGTGGTTGTCCTTTTATCAGAGCCTACGGAATCGACCCTGAAATACTGCATTTCAATGTCTGTCTTCTTGTACTCGATAGTGTAGCTAGTGATGTTATATGGATCGTGGTAAGCAGGTGCTGACCAACCAATGGTGACGAACGAGGTAGTGACGTTATTTTCAGTCAGGTTGACTGGAGGTGGTGGAGAAGCTGGAGAAGATATCAAATAGGTGCATCGGTCAATGGATAACTGGTTAGACTATTTTGATCATAGTTTTTGGTGAACATTTATAATGAATTTCTTGATAGCACTGCAAGCAAATCGAGGATGCCTCTTTGTATTACCTTGCACTTGCAAAGACGAAAAATGCAAAGACTTTGGTGAATTTCCACGAGTTTCTTTCCATATCAATCCCGTGATGCATTGTGTAGCTGACCACGATGTCGTATTGTTGATCAACTCAGCAGTGACGTCAAACTCAACTCCAACACTTCCGTTACTAAAAATTGACATTTATCAAAAGAAATTATAAAGTTGCAATTTTTTTCGTGGTGGAAAAGATAGGTTGTGGTTGAACTCCATTTCCTAAGCTGGTATTCCCTCCCGTGTTGCGTGACCTCATCTTTGATGCGACCGGTGCCAGTAGTATATCAGTACCAAATAACTTACTAAAATTTGATTATGTTTATCTTGAATATGCTGTAGTCACGTGATCTTGAGCTTTGGAATAACTTCTGCAACTGCAAGATCAACAGATGATAATGATTGCCCCAGTGCTTTCATTTATATTTTGATTTGGTCAATGAAGATTACCTTCGACTTGAAAGCCTGTTCCAAGGACAAGTACTCGCTTGTACTTCGTTCGAGTAATTTTGGAGTAAATCTTTTGTTCTTTAGAAGTAAGGTGAATCGTATCGAAATAAAATCTGAAAAGAAGGATCGCTTAAATTACATGCAAGAAGATTAGAAATGGTGGGTTTGTAGTTAGTTCAAGATCTAGACGTTAAGATTAATGTGCTTTGTGGTTAGTAATGGTTTGCTTGGTTGTTAAATGTTGTTTTGGTGGATTGGTGTGTGGGTTCGTGGTTTGTTTGTTGGTTGATAGAGGGTTTGTGGTTTGGTTAAACGGTGAAATGGTTGGTTTCGGAACGTTTAGTAAGTCGGTTGTTTTTTTTATGAGTTGATTATTTATCTGTTCATGTCGACTTACTTTCTGGCATAGTTTGTACATAGACAGGAGTGCTCCAAGGTCCATCGCCGTGCTCATTAAACTCCAAAACTGATAAATTATACTTGGTTGAAGGCTGGAGGTTAAGAACCTCGAAATCCTTTGAGTTAGGAGTCGTCGTATTTATCGTTATATATCGATCATCACCGACTACACAATTTTGAATCTTAAATCCTTTAGGAGTGCCGTGGACGAATGGCAGAGGTACTGGCCTCCATGCCAGGAATATTCTATAAGGACCAATAGGTACTGCCTTTATTATGACAGGGGATAGTGTTGGCGCTGAAATAATCAATCAATCAATCAATCAATCAATCAATCAATCAATCAATCAATCAATCAATCAATCAATCAATCAATCAGTCAATCAATCAATCAATCAATCAATCAATCAATCAATCAATCAAGAATTGAGTCATCAATCAATCAATAAATCTATTGATCGATCAACTCAAATATATGAAATATTCAAAACGCATGCAATCAATCATCCTGATATTTTCATCTCACATGATGAGCTCACCTGGTGGCGGACATTTTCTCACTCCACAGTACTCCCATCGTTTTGTTTTATATGACGTATAACACCAAGGACCATTAGGTGCCTGGCCTCCTGGATTACGGCACCAGTTGGAAGCATTAACCAGTTCAGGATATTCACCCAATGGATGATGGTGTCGATGAGGACATTGTGAAGACCACTCTTGACACACGTGACCTGAACGCGTCATACTAGCATTGCCWTGGTAACCAAGACCATTTCCATAGTAACAATCTAATCGATAATAGGATATTTCTTTTGATTTTGTAAGGACATTACTTTCAATGGATTGCTAACAGTAAAAGTTATAAGTTTCAGTTTAGTATTGCAAGGATAGTTCATTAATTACCAAAATACGTAGTCTGGCCCCCCATGTTTGCCTGAGCCATCTTGAAAGGTAACCGCTCCAGCTTACATCAAAGCGAGAGGACTGGTAAGCCCGCATGCAAACACTAGAACCAGTAAAAATTTGTCTATAGTCATTTCAGCTGTCAAAGAAGATTTCTTTTATTGCATGCTAAAAGACCGTCTAAATTCGATTCAAAAGTGCGACTACCTTTCAAGATGGCGCAGGGAACTGTGAAGAACACTAACGTCACGTACCTGGAGACTTGAGTTTATCAGTTTCAGCTGTTAAAGATAAAGCAAAAAATAAAAATATACACTAAATAAAGCTTGATTTTTTTTTATGCTAGAGGTACATACTATTCAGGGTTCTGCTGTAATAGCATTCAGGACTTTCGCCTCCATTTCTCCAAGGTTGAAAAGTGCAATTCATTACTCTCCAGTTAGGAATGTTTGTCCCAACTAGATTCTTATTAATCAATTCTACGAGTTTAAACTCTCTGTAGCACTTTTTGTATAAGTCTTCGCATGTCTCTCTACATATTGGTTGTGCTTGAAGCACTTCAGTTGTATCATCACAGGCAGGAAAACGATTTCTGCAGTAAGTATCATTGAAGGATTTCTCGCATGATTCTGTAACTCGAAACTGATACAAATCCTCAAAAGCATTCCTTGCGGCCACATAATTTTTTAGTGTGCCTTCCTTAATGTTTTGCTGTTCAACGCTGCCGTAGATCTTCCATGTGATTCGGTCTTTACAGTATCCAGTTTGTGGGAATTGATATGGGAGACAAGATGAGTTCTTAATGTTAACAGATACTTCAGGGAAAGAGGCGACGCATCTGAATAAGAGTAAAGGTATGGATCTTGATTACAAAATGAAAGAATAGATGAGCAAATGAGTGGAAGGGTTAAATAAACAAAAAGATGGAATGAAAAGAAAAGATAAATACCTTTTTCCTATTGTCCCATTTGAGTCCGCAACTGTAAAAGAACGAGGTATCACTCGATCAAATTATTGAATAAGAAACAATCTAATTAATCAGGTGATACAGTGCAGTGTCCAATTGCAAAAGATTTTTGAATGCTCATTTCTGATTGGCCAAGGACCGACCAATCGATATCTTAATATTTATGTCAGGCCTACAAAACGTTTCCACCCTACATTCGCCCTTATGTTACACCGTCTTATGTCTCAACTTCAAAAACTATGATATCGTCTTTACAAAAATTGACTAAATCTCTGATCTTTCACTCTAACAAGGAAAAAAACATCATTTTTGTGTTATCTTTTGTATTTTTAGTGGTCTTTAGCATCAAACCAAACCTGATACAAGGAAGAATGAGAATTGGAGTAGGAAAACGACTTGGTCTATCAACATCCCTGAAAAAAGCCAAAGAGATCAATCAATCAATCAATCAATCAATCAATCAATCAATCAATCAATCAATCAATCAATCAATCCTAATCACTATACCTATGCACCAATCTGTCAATCATCATAATCATCAATTAATCGCTCAGCAAATTGTTAATGACATTTTGATACTAGCTATTCCGCTTTTTAAAAAAGCCAACATTGTTCCGCAAAAAAAAAAAAAAAAGCTTAGTTTGTCATTGGACATGTGGCGTGACGAGTGAGACCAGACATGCGTGACGAGACAAAACGGACGTGACTGTATCGACTTCCTGTACTTGATAAATCGTTACAAAATTCAAGATTTTATTCAAGATTTACAAAATACTTGAGATATAATTCGGATATAAATGATTGATTCGTTTATTCTAATATTAAAGTTTAAGGTAGAAGCACTGAATTGCATATATTGAATCATTTTCTTTGTATATAAATACTTTAATCTCGGACTTTCCTTAAACAGAATATGATGTTTTACAATCAACAATCAAGTTGTTGTTTTCGACTGTAATTTGAATACTGTAATTGGATTAAGGATTGCTTTAAATCATTAATTCATAATCTCTGTTTACCTTCAAATACTTTAAATAATGTTTAACAGCTTCAGCCTAATTTCCACGCACATTAAATCGGAGTTCTTGACATGATTGGAAGTTGTTTTCAAGCAGTCTTCAGTGTGAACAATTTGTTTTCAAATGTAAAGAACGAAGTGAGTACGTTGATGTTGCTGTACGTAGAGTTATTTTCATGTTTYATAGATTCTACCATTTTGTTCATGTTGTGTTTGCAAGAAATCATCAGACCTTCACATTGACATTGAGTACATTGACACGGATGAGAAATTGAGATGACGTAATTATGAATATATTTATAGAGCCAAAGGTCCCCAGCATTAAATTCCTCGACTCACTGGTCTACTTTGTTCATAATTAGGACTGGAAACTATGGATATCCCAATCCACCGATTTAAACTTAATCATTTGATAATAATAGCTGTGGGAAATAGCAAGTAGGCATTTCAAATTATCGGGGATGCAGGATCACCCTTCATACGCTGCGCGCCTCGTCATAATTTCATATTACACAAAATTATTTTTTAAGAAGACTATTTTAGGCTCCTGAGAGGTTGATTCGAATGAGGTTTGAATCAATCAAGAAACGAAACTTCCATGCGTATTTCCTTCTTTTTTTCACTTTCAAAACAAGCATACGATCATGAAGCATTCTGGGAGATGCTGTGTCTTTAATTTATTCTGCAATTCACTACTCTCCAGTTAGGAATGTTTATCCCAACCAGATAATTATTAATCAACTCTACGAGTTTAAACTCTGTAGCACTTCTTGTCAAGAAGAAAAAATAAAAAGAATTAGTCTGTATTGATGATATCTTTCATGTTGTTTTACATTTGACTTCTTGTCCAGCCTTGTCAGTTTTGGCTTCAATTTATTCATGTACATTATCAATAAGTAATAAGACGGTTTCCCGTTCAATTTGGATTAATTAGCACTCGTTTGTTTTTCAAAGAGCCAAATTGCGTTTGGCCTACGGCTACGGTACGGCCTATAAAACTTTAATAAGGCTGTGTTAAAATGTAAGGCTATTTTAGCCTCCTGAGAGGTGGGTTCAAATTATGTTTGAATGAATCAAGAAACGAAACTTCCATGCGTGTTTCTTTCTTTTTTTTTTTTCACTTTCGAAACAAGCATACGATCACGAAGCAATCTGGGTGATACTGTGTCTTTAATTAATTAGAATGGGCCACAAAGGTTTCCCATTGGCAACTCATTACCTCTTTAATTAGAAAAGGGAGTAGTGCACAAATCAAATTACACTAACCTGTTGTAATGTGTGTCTGCGAATCTCATTGAAAATTCCAGCACCTTGACTTACAAACTAATTTGGCCTAGTCTTACTGCCCATTCCGTGCA